AATTGATTTTTATTTTTTTTAGACAGCCTTACTCTGTCACCCAGGCTGGAGTGCAGTGGCGCAATCTCAGCTCACTGTAACCTCTGCCTCCCAGGTTCACGCCATTCTTCTGCCTCAGCCTCCCCAGCAGCTGGGACAACAGGCGCACGCCGCCACGCCTGGCTAATTTCTTTGTTTTTTTAGTAGAGACGGGGTTTCAGTGTGTTAGCCAGGATGGTCTTGATCTCTTGACCTCATGATCCGCCCGCCTCCGCCTCCCAAAGTGCTGGGATTACAGGCGTGAGCCACCGCGCCCGGCAAAAAATCAAATTATTAAGTCAGATTTGTTCTGTATTGTTTTTAATGTGTTTTTAAACTGCTCTTGTTCCTCTAGCTAGGCGAACTTAAGCAGCACTTAGCATTTCTATGTTTGTAAACTGAAACATGAACAAAAGTTAAAGTTTTCTAATAGCATTTGATTAGTATGAGTTTGAGTCATTTTATAGAATATACATGGAAAACAAGTCAGGGCCCACAGGCAAAACTTAGGTAAGTAAAGAAGACTTTGGGTATGAATCCAAGTAGCAGTTAATTATTATAATATCCAGATAGTTCCTTGAGGAATTTTTTTAATTAATATAAATTCATGTATTTAATATGTAAAACCAGCATAATACTAAAAAAATTAACAGGAAATAATAGAGGCTAAAGCTGTCTGTCATCTGTCAGCCAGTGAACTACTGTGTGTGTGTATGTGTGTATGTGTGTGTGTGTGTGTTCCCTTTGGTCTTTTAAAAATTTTTTATTTTTAGGTACAGGATCTTACTGTTGCCCAGGCTGGAGTGCTGTGGTGTGATGAGAGCTCGCTGCAGCCTCCAATTCCTGGGCTCATGCCACTACACCTGGCCAATTTTTTAATTTTTGGTAGAGGTAGGGTCTTATTTACTGTGTTGCCCAGGCTGGTCTTGAACTCCTGGGCCCAAGTGGTTCTCCCACCTTGGCCTCCCAAAGTGCTAAGATTACAGCATGAGCCACTGTGCCTGGCCTTCCCCACTTGTTTCATCTAGGTGTATTTTTATTTATTTGCAATCATAGTGTATAGACTTTTTTTTTTTTAAAGATGGAATCTTGCTCTGTCGTCCAGGCTGGAGTGCAGTGGCACCATTTTAGCTCACTGCAACCTCCGCCTCCCAGGTTCAAGCGATTCTCCTGCCTCAGCCTCCTGAGTAGCTGGGATTATAAGCACCCGCCACCACCCCTGGCTAATTTTTATATTTTTAGTAGAGATGGGGTTTCACCGTGTTGACCAGGCTGGTCTCGAACTCCTGACCTCAGGTGATAGCCCACCTCAGCCTCCCAAAGTGCTGGGAATGAGCCATCGTGCCCGGCCCCATAGTGTATAGACTATTATAGACTATTTAATATTTCTACATTTTCACCTAACATCATAATTTTATCATTTTCTTAAATTGCATCCCAGTCTTATAATTATCAAAGAATGTAAAACTCAGTTTTTAAAAACGTTCAGAGAGTTGCTTTGGTATTTAAACAAAATCCCATGTATCTTGAGACCAAACTGTCTTAGTTTGCTACGTATAAGAATTATTAATTCGTTTTGACTTAAACTTTGAATTGAATTTTTTTCTGAAACAAAAACTTGTTTCCTCTTGTCTTAGGCATGCAGAGAAGGAGAAGAAAAATCTTAGATACCTCAGTGGCATATGTGCGGGGAGAAGAGAACTTAGCAGGCTGGCGGCCCCGTGGAGACAGTCTCATCCTTGAGCACCAGTGGGAGCTGGAGAAGCTGGAGCTCCTACATGAGGTATCCAGGGGGCAGGGTTGCTCAGATGCAAGAACTCTGGGACAAGATTGCCAAAGTATCAGTCTTCCTTCCCCCTGCTGCATGTGATCATAGCTTTTTACTTTTCTCTCCTGAGATCTTAACGAGCTCTGTGTTTGCTATAGCAGTAGTATTGATCTTCTCAGGTGGAAAAAACCCGCCACTTTTTGCTGCTGCGTGAGAGACTTGGTGACAGCATCCCCAAATCCATGAGTGACTCGTTATCCCCCAGCCTCAGCAGTGGGACCCTCAGCACCTCCACCAGTATCTCCTCTCAGATCTCAACCACCACCTTTGAAAGTGCCATCACACCCAGCGAGAGCAGTGGCTATGATTCGACAGACATCGAAAGCCTGGTGGACCGAGAGAAAGAGCTGGCTACCAAGGTGTGAATCCCTTCCTCTTTGCTGAACATCTTCCCACAAGGCTCCACAAACTAGCCTCTCAGTTTATTCATTTTCAACAGCTTTGTTTGAGGTGTTTGAAGGCCTGTGATAATCCTGTGAATGTAGAAATAAAAAGTAAGACGCAGTTCCTACCCTCAACAAGCTTACAGGGCCAGGCGCACTGCCTCATGCCTGTTACCCCACCACTTTGGGAGGCTGAAGCAAAGGGATTGCTTGAGCCCAGGAGTTTAAGACAAACCCGGGCTAACATAGTGAGACCTTGTCTCTACAAAAACAAAAATTAGGCCAGGCTCAGTGGCTCACGCCTATAATCCCAGCACTTTACAGGGCTGAGGCAGGCAGATTACCTGAGGTCTGGAGTTTGAGAGCAGCCTGGCCAACATGGTGAAACCCTGTCTCTACTAAAAATACAAAAATTAGCCAGGCGTGGCGGTGGGCGCCTGTAATCCCAGCTACTCAAGAGGCTGAAGCAG